GGGTAGGGAATGTCATGAGTAGCAGGAGGAGCCTTGCTCTGAGCATCCGTTTCTTTATTTCTTGTGACCATTCCTTGTAGATGAAGCTTTATCGAAGACTGTCTCCACTGGATGATGAGTTTGGGGGTGCAGAATCCTTTTATAGTGAATTCACTCAATAGCTATGTATTGGAGACTGACTTTGTGTTAACAGGTGGAGGAGGTGACAGCAGGCAATGCAGATGGGTTTTGCTCTCGTGGCCCCCAGTCTAGTGGAGAATATCACAGGTAATCAGGGAGTCCTTCAGGTAACCCAGGCTATCCATGCTCCAAAAGAATGATCCCTGTAAAGCAGCCAGACTGGACTGAGTCGGGTGGTCAGGAAGCCTTCTTTGCAAAGGAGAGGATTGTGGGATATCGAGGAATAGAAGAAAGGGCACTCACTGTAGGTGGTAGAGCAGCAAGAGTACTGGGGGCGAGGTGCAGCCGGACAGGTGCTGGGGCATCAAACTGCACAGGACCCCATCGGTCATGCTAAGAGGCTTTGTGTTTTTCCGCTTGTTTGGTTTCCGTTTCTGTATCATTTATTTACTGTTTTTCCCTTAATTATTTTAAAATTATTTTTAAAGCATTTATTTTTTGAGTAAACTTTTTATTTTGAGAAAATTGTAGAGTCGCACGCAGCGGGAAACAATAATGCAGGGCACCCCTGTATTCTATACCCAGTTTCTCCCAATAGTGGCATCTTGCAAAACTATAGAACAGTGTCAAAATCAGAATGTTGACGGTGATACAGTTCACTGATCTCATGTTGATTCTCTCCATTTTGATTGTGCTCTTTGCTCTATTTATCTTGAAAATTTTCAAAGGTACAGAAAAGCTGAAAGAATAGTACAATGGAAACCATTACTCCTGTGTCACCTGAATTCATCAGTTGCAAGCACTTTGCCATATTTGCCTCCCCTGTATCTCTATGTACCTCTTTCTATGTAGCCAAATCCCATAAGTATGTGATAAACATGTAAGTGGTTCAGCAAATATCTCTCAAGGTTGAAGACAACAGTCAATGGCCTTAATGACCTTCCAGAACATAACAATCGTCTCTCCGTACCGTCTGTATTCAAATTTCTCCTCAGTTCTCCCCAGTCTTTGTTGTATTTCATTATAGGCTTTCTCAAATCTGTATCTAGTCTGGATGCACACGTTGTATTTGGTTATCTCTCATTAATCTCTTCTTTTTTCTGGAATAAGTTCATCACCTTTTTTTCCCTTCCCATTCATGGCATTGTTTTTTAAAATTCTATTTCATTTTTATTTATTTTAGTTTTTTGAAGGGATAAAGTCACTAGCTTTGCAGACTTTCACCCATTCTGGAATTTTTGATTGCTGCCTTGTGTACAGATTTGTTTCTGCAAATTCCTATGTCCTGCAAACTGGAAGCTTGATCTAAAATTCAAGTTCACCCTTTTGGCAAGCGGAATAGAAGTTGGTGTTCAGCATTCCCTGGTGTGTCTGTTGGGAGTCTGGGAATGCCAGGCTGACCACTACTGATGATGCTGGGTTTGATCACTTGGTTAAAAGGGAGTAACTGCCAGATCTCTCTGTTGTGAAGATACCTGCCCCTTACAGATTATCATGTAATCTTTGGGTAATACTTTGGCATCTGCAGAAAATTGCAGAGGTCTTCCTCTAGCAATCTTTCATCTGATAAGTTTAGCATGTACTGATGGTCCTTGTCTGAAACAGTTATTTCTCTGACTTAAGAGAATGGTGACTTCCTACTTCTGAGAATCAAGACTCTTTGGCTTTAATCTAGGAACACTGGGAAGCCCCTGAGGACGTGGGTTCAGTGGGAGATTGGGGGAAGTGTTGGTGCCCTGATCAGATTTGTAATTTGAAAAGGTCACTCTGGGTGAAGTGTGGGGACCAAGAGAGACAAGAATGACCATAGGTAGATGGGCTAGGATGCCCCGCTGGTAGTCCAGGTGAAAAAGGATGATCAATTATCCAAGTGGGTGGGTATAGAGATGGACAGAAGCAGGTGGTTTTACAAGAAGATTTTGCCTGTGGAATACACTGATGGCTCTTGTTAGAGCTGTCCACTTATTATATGGAGCATCTTGTGAATAATCTAACTAAAAATGCAGCAGGGATGGATTGATTATAAAAAGATGAAATTTTCACAAAATATCTCATGTTAATCTTCCAACTCCCCTCTTTGACCTGGAGATAGCAGTTGTAATAGTCTGTTCAGCCTCCTCAGCCTTTCTAGGCAAATGCAATGGTGGGGACCACCACCACGGCTAGTAAATTATGCAGACCGACAGGGAAGCCTTGCAAAATCTCATCTCCGACAATCTGCAGCATTTTGTTTGATCAGCAAAGTACCAACATTTAACAGCTGAGCCATACTAATGGAGTATGGGGCTGTGTTTCCTAGAGGGAAAAGAAAAAAGGAATCGGGAAAATATGCTTCTCTTCTAGGATAATAAAAACCAGACCCTGTATCTCAATTATTAGGCTTTGAGGAGTGATCAGCAAGAAAGCCAGCAATTTCATGCAAATAGAGATATGACTAAATTACGGCACTCAGCCGGCAGAGTTGGCAACCGGGTCATTAAAATGTGAAACTCTTGACAAAGTGGGGAAACTTAAGGAGTGAAGTATGAATTTCAGTAATTAAACTGGGGAGAGAAACTGTTCCTCGTGTCAGGGGGCACCTAGAACACCCCTGCTCACAAGCCCTGCTGGTCAGGGCTCCTGCAGGCAGAGTTTGGAGGACATGGAACTGACTTCTCTTGACTCTGCCCGGGATCCTAATCTCTCCCGCACTGGAGGCCTCTGTTGAATAAAGGGTGATCACGATTTGCTTCTTGAGTTTTTATTCATGGGAGGAGGCTCGACAAACCCCTCCCAAGGCCGAGATGACTCGCTGTAACCTGGCATCGCTGTTACGGTTGCAGAGGAAAGCATCTTTGAACATCGGCTTATTGCTGCTGTCAGATGGAACTGGTGTCTCTTTGCAAGAAGTTCTTGGGTAGAACTTTGTGCTGGGAATTGCTTTCTTGGCTGCATAAATTCTGTTCACCACCTTGGTCTTCACAGCCATTGTACCTAATTATGAATCAGTAGATTAAATAAATGAGAAACATCCACTCTCTTTGGCCATCTCTGACTATGACCTCATTTTCCTACATGAATTCTCAGTTGCCTGTCCCCTTCCCACCCAGATCTTGAGGGAGCATGCGTCCCGGGCTACCGGGATGTGTGCTTTTCAGGATAACTGCTTGTTTCGTTCAGGTTAGCTCAGAATAAGCACTAAACTGTCAGATTCAAGAAATTCTCCTAATTCTGGCAGGCACAGAGTGGACCCACTAGAAAAGGGGAACCCCTTCCCGATGCCAGGAGTGGTCTGATTGGCCAGGAAGCAAGATGGAGCAGCAGGGCACCACTCGTGAAATTCAGGGACCATCTGGGAGACCACAGAGGTATAACTGAGGAGCTTATGGATTTGAGGATGCCACATAAAAGAGTCTGGAATGCGACCACATGCTCAAATGGTTTACTGGGAGCTGAATAGGTGCAGATGGTCAGGAGTTCCTGTTTGAGCCTTTCAGTTATTAAATTACATAAGAAAAAGGAAAGGATAATAATACCACATATTCGACCCAATGGGCCCTGTTGATAATGAAAAATCTCTGTAGCGTAAATATAAGACATAGTTAGGACCTGCGTGTTATGTTTGTTTAAAAAAAAAAGGTTTCTTTAAGCAGAAAGAGTGTGACTGTGTATTTGTAACCTTTGGGGACTGACTCTTTGTGACTCTTAGATATGCCCAAGGAGTATCTTTTAATATGTCCTTGGAAAAGTTCTCCAGGACAGGAGGTGCTCAGGCAGACAGAAAGGCAGAAGTGTAATACGTACCTCCTGTGAAATACATGTTCATTACTTTCTCGTATGTTCTCATTCAGTTAAAAGAAAAAAAAAAAAAGTCATTTATAATGTAAAATTATTCCAGGGGGCATTGGTTTTCACCTTTTTCTGGGTGGGTTGTTTCAGTGTTCTCTTTTTTATTTCAGGATTTTCTGATGGAAACGTTCATCATGTTTAAGAACCTCATTGGGAAGAATGTCTACCCTTTCGACTGGGTGATCATGAACATGATGCAGAATAAGTGAGTACAGGGGAAGGCTCTCCTTGACGAGGTGCCTGATTCATGTCTGGTGGGAACGGAGGTGTTGCTTGGATACCATGGGGGCTCCCACAATGTACAGGGTGCTCCCCCTTCTATGATGCAAATGGTTCTTTGGAGAAATGGGCCTGGAGATTGGGTGCTTTGCTTATGCCAGCACAGGCTCTGGGGCTGAGAACTTGGGCTCTGCCCCCTGGAGAAAACAAACATGAACATGACCCGCCTTTCCCTTCACCTTCGTCAGGGGCATCAGTTTGCCGTCTAATCTTAACCATGTGTGTTTGTTACCCAAAGCGATTCTCAGCTCTGTGGGAGTTTTTTGAAAAGTGTTTGCATTTCACATATTTCAGCTTAAAAAAATCATGAGCATTTTCATCACACGTATTAAATATTAAACACGTGCCTTGTTCATCTTCTTGTGAGGGCTGTGGGTTAATTTTCTAGCACTTGGGTTTTATAATTTCTGTAAGCGCCAACAAAGATCATGGGGTTCTCAATCACGTGTGGTTTCTAGAAGGAATTTCTGTTGACTTCTTTTTTCTGCTTTCTTTTTGCAGTTTTCATGGAGATAATTATAGGTTCATAGTCAGTTCATACGCAGTTTTCCTTGATGATAACATTTTGTAAAACCTTAGCACCAAACTACAACCAGGGAACTGACATTGATACAATTTACCCATCTTCCTCAGATCTTCCCAGCTTGACTTGTACTCATTAGTGTTTGTGTTTAGTGTCTTGCAATTGTTTTCACATGCATGTGTTCTCAAATCCACCCTCACGGTGAAACACTGAACATTGCCTTCACCACAAGGGTCCCGGTTGTTCCCCATTTGTGACCCTCCCCCTTCCCTAATCCCTGGCAACCACAAATTTGTTCTCCATTTCTAAAATCTTGTCATTTCAAAAATGTTATATAAATGGAATCATACAGGCTGTAACCTTTTGGGATGATTGACTTTTTTTCTTTCACTCTGCCTAATTCCCTGGAGACTCATTTAGGTTCTCGGATCAGTGGTTTTGTTCCTTTTCATTGTTGAGTTAGTGTTCCCTAGTATGGATGTGCCACAGGTGGTTTAACCATTTTTACTGTTGAAGGACGTCTAGACTATTTCCAGTTTGGGGCTATTACAAATATATCTGCTATGAACATTCCTGTACAGGTTTTTGTGTGAACTTAAGTCTTCATTTCTCTGGCACAACCGACCTGGGATGCAAATGCTGGATTGCATGGTAATCATATGTTTAGTTTTGTAAGAAACTGCCAAACGCTGCCATTCTCCATTCCCATGAGCCATGTAAGAGAGATCCAGTTTCTCTGCATCCTCGTCAGCATCTGCTGTTGGCACCATTTTTCATTTTAGCCCTTCTGATACACGTGTACGATGTCTCATTGTGGTTTTCATTTATGTCTTTCCTGAGCCTCTTTTTAATGATTTGTCCACCCTATGGATAAATTCATAGCAGCAAGGGCCTTTCCCTTTGCCTTTTGTGGGTGATGCTCCTTTCCAGGACAGCAGGGATGAAATCGGCGCTCTGTACCATAAGCTGCGGGTTGTGAGCAGGCCTCCGCTAGGACTGAGCCGAAGTAAGTGTTGTCCATCTTACTGTGGCTGAAGCCTCCTTCCTCACATCAGACAACATCTGAGAATTAAGTGGAGAGGCTCGGGAGGGAGCGGCCTCTCACAGCTGGAGATATAAACGTGGCCAGCGCTCACAGCAGGGGTCCTGGCCTTGGCCTCTTGCGTTTCCACCTGCTCTCTCAGGATCTGAATCCTCACCCAGAAAGTGAGGAGCTTAAAGCTTAAAGCACGAGGAGTTTCTTCCTTTTTCTCTGTCGGGATTAACTTTTGTGAGTGACGATTTAGGATGAGTCTAGAGAGCTGCAGTGTTCATGTTTTTAGTGGCCTATCTTCAACAAACAACAAACAAAACCTGCTGTCCTGGATCTACAGGAAGACTCGGGCTCTCCTTGCTCTGCTGGATGCTGTAGCTGAAAGCGACAGACCCGTCCTTGCCGTCTAGCAATGAAATAACTCGGGGCCTCTGCATTTAACTAGACCCGGCAGATAAACTTCCCACGTCGGTAGTGAAATCACGACTCTGTTACTCGACTGAGTAGAGCTAAAGGCGGCCGCTGAGTCAGGCAGCCGGGCGGCCCTGGGTGTGGTTGGGAGGCGTGCGTGTGGACGCCTGACCCCGCGTGTGGATGCCTGACCCCGCATGTGGACTTGACCTGTGCTGCATCTCCCCTGCAGAGTGGCCGTGTCCTAGCACCCAGGCTGTGCATTCCATACTCTGGGGACAAGGGTAGGAGAGGGCTGCTCCTGCAATGTCAGATGCCATCTGTCCTCAGAAGTTGTGTGACTTGGTGACCCCAGTCCCAGGGGTCCCACCGAGGTAAACTGTCACCCCATTGAGGAGGATGCAACCACACTTTACTTTGATGCTATTTTTTTTTTTTTT